GGACGTGACCTGGCCCTTGCCGAAGTAGTTGGTCTGGACCTCGTGCGGGTCGGCGCCGAGCCACTCAAAGTCGATCTCGTCGAGCGTATCGGACTGGAGGACGAGAGAGGAGACGATGCCGGCGCCGGGGGCCGCCTTGAGTGTGATCTCGACGCGGCCGAACATGATGTAGAAGAGCGACATGAGCTGCGGGGCCTGACCCGAGGCGGCGACGGTGAAGCTGACGCCGTCGCGGCCGTAGGTCGGCGAGCCGGCTTCGATAAAGGTATCGACGGCGCCGTTGGCAAAGTCGACGTCAATGGCCATGCCGAGCGCCGTGTTAGGTTCGCATGCTACGCGGGGGAATCGTCAGTGATTGATGTCTCGGGGCGGTGGGTCAAGAGGCAGGTGGAGAGCATACTTGTTGTCAGCGGGTTACAGTCCGTCCATGTCTGGGCCGCTGTCAATGTTGAGAATGCTGCTGCCGCTGCCGCCGCCAAGGCTGCGGGGCTCCGTCTTGTTCTTGAAAAGAACATTCCTCCGTGTCTGTGTCTGCGTGTGCGCTGGAAAGAGGTAAAGGAAGGCTGAAACTCGAACAACCGTTTGTACAGAAAGGGCGAGCGCTCCAGATGGATAAAGTCGAAAAAGGTGCCTCTCTTGAGCCCAGATGGTAGGTAGCCAGTGAGGCTTGTCGGTGATGTTCAGTAAGCCTCGGGCGAAGGAGGTTTCCTCTGTCTCGATATGTCTCTTTCGACGGTAGACAAGGAGACAATAGGGTGAGTAGGTGGTACAGTGACTGGTATGTTACAACTGGGACAAGAGTCCGTCCAAGGGCAGACGCGGCGGCATGGCAATCTATATGGGAGACTTTCCCAGCCTGCAAGTTCAAGGATGTGGCGGCCCAATCGACGGGACGGTGGGGCCCAAACGCAGTGTCGAGCACTTCAAGATCTTGGAAACCGCTTGGCCGTGCAAGTCCCGGACGGCCGGCCAGGGAATACGAAGCTGAAGCCGGCCAGCGCGGGCCTGTTGAGCGCCAATTTCAGGGTCCTGTTGTCGTATCAACGACATGGGGGAGATTTGGGGGAGGTTGGGACAAGCGCTGGAGGAGCCTGAAGAGCAGAATGGCGTGTGCTGATTGGCCGCGGCGTGGCTGAAAATGTGTGGCTGGAGGAATCAAGGTGGCTGGCATGACGAGCTGCTTGGCGCAGCGACGTACATGGTACGTACGTACCTTTCCTCGAGACACCTTACCTCACTCGCCTCCCATTGGTAGGCAATGCCTGCTCAATCATGCGGCCATTGGGTCTATCGTCATGGAACGGGGATTGGAAGGTCCGACGATGTGGTTCGCTCTTATTCTCGAAGCTGTCCTGTTCATGCACTTGTTCGTGGCTCAACCAGATGGGCGACTGATAAGGTCTTCGATAAGAAAGGTCTCCACTTCTTCGGTATCCCCCAGCACCACCCACATCCACATCCACATCCACACCACACCACTGCACCAACTTGACCAACAAGCAAGCAGCCGGCTTCTATGCATCATCGGGCAGCTTCAGCAAAAGAAAGCCGAACAGCGTGCAAGACGCAGGAAAGCAATTCTGATGCAGTCGAGAGCCCAATACCCCACAGCACGCACAACTTCCCCTCACACCGTTCCCAGACCGACTTTCCTCCTTCAGGTGCTTGTCGTAGCTTTCTAACGCACGGGGCGCGTGACGTCAAACGAGAGCCGCAACTGCCCGCCGATGCCGAAAGCAACGCGGCTCCTGCCCTACAATGTGACCCGGACGCTGTACAGGGCGCTGTGCGGCGCCGGCCTAGGGCGTCCCTCCAGGGCGCTGCCAAAGGGCGTGCTCTGGCACGGGAAAGGGGGGGGGGGCGAAGGAGGTCACAGTGCAGGACCCCTAAAACCTCAGCGAATCATAGCGCCTCTATGCGTCCAGAACGACATGGGTAGCTGCGGGTACCAGCGGAAATGCCCCGCCAATCCACCTGCCCGCCCTGTCGTCCGCCGGTCGAGCTTGCCTCCCCCTCCTTATCTCGAGTCACGATGTGTAAGAGGTTCGATGGATGGGGAAGGACAATGAAACCGCCCTCCCTACAACTCACTCCCTCAGCTACGAACGCTACGCACTAGAGTTCAACGCTACACGGTCTGATCGAGATCAGGAACGGCAATACAAAACCCATACCATCCCCCGAGACTGCTTTCACAATGGGTCACCTCGCAACCCAACGTGCTTTACGCCTGCGGAACATCAGAGCCATGTCCGCCACCGCTTGCCAGACCGCACCTGTCGGACTCATGTCCAGACGATCGTTCCATGCCAAGCCAAAGCTCAACTCGGCCGGTGAGGCCGCTCCGGTGCAGCAAGATGCCGTGCTCGAGAACAAGCAACCGATATCCGTCTTCGACAGCATCCGGGAGCGGCGGGCCAAGGCCGGCAAGCTCGTCGCCGGCGTTGCTGCCGTATCTGACAGTGACATGTTCAAGGCGCCATCTCATGGGAAGCCGGAAGCCAAAAGATGGGACCGTAAGACAGCCGGTCCTCGAGTCTCTGGCCCCCGACTCTCGCTGACCAAGAGGCCGTAGACCACCTGAGCCACGAAGCCGCGGTGCGCAAGCCATGCACCCTCAAGCAAGCCGCTCGTTTTCTCAAGACCCCAGGTCTCATCTCCCTCGGCGGCGGCTTGCCGTCGAGCGAGTATTTCCCCTTTTCAGAGCTCACCATGCGTGTGCCCACGCCACCAGACTTCGCTGAGAAAGACAATCTCTCTGCACAAAGTCCCACGGCGCAGACCATTAGCATAGGCAAGTATGATGTGCGCGAGGGCAAGTCGGAATACGACCTGTCCATCGCCCTCAACTATGGCCAGTCTACGGGCTCCGCTCAGATGATGCGCTTCGTCACAGAACATACCGAGCTGGTCTACAACCCACCGTACGCAGACTGGAAGGTGTGTCAGACAGTAGGCAGCACAGGCGCCCTCGAGCAGGCCTTGCGCATGCTCTGCGACCGTGACAGGGGTGACTCGGTCCTCACCGAGGAGTACAGCTTCTCGACCGCCCTCGAAACCATCGGCCCCCTGGGCATCAAGACCTTTGGCGTCAAGATGGACGCCGAGGGCCTGTTGCCCGAGAGCATGGACGAGCTCCTGACATCGTGGGACGAGAAGGCTCGCGGCGCCCGCAAGCCGCATGTTCTGTACACTGTTCCTTCAGGCCAGAACCCCACCGGCGCCACCCAGGGACCTGAGCGTCGCCGCGCCGTCTACGCTGTGTGCCAGAAGCACGATGTTTACATCATCGAGGATGAACCCTACTACTTCCTGCAAATGCAGCCTTATGCCGGCAAGGATGCGCCGGTGCCGCCACCGCCGGCGAGTGTTGACCAGTTCCTCGCCGACCTGGTCCCCTCGCTGCTGAGCATGGACACGGACGGCCGCGTCTTGAGGATGGACTCATTTTCCAAGGTACTGGTGCCAGGCTCACGACTCGGATGGATCACGGCGTCGGCGCAGATGGTGGAGCGATATATCCGCCACGCCGAGGTCGCCAACCAGGGCCCGAGCGGCTTCTCACAGGTCATGCTGTGGAAGCTGCTGGACGAGACGTGGGGCCATGAGGGCTACCTGAAGTGGTTGATCGACTTGAGGATGAACTACACGCGGCGCCGCAACATGCTGCTCGCCGCCTGCGAGGACCACTTGCCGAAGGATATCGTATCTTGGACCCCGCCTGCCGCAGGCATGTTCGTAAGTTGCCTACGGCCCGTACACCACCTGGCGTGTTTTTGACACTAACGAACTGGCAGCTCTGGCTCAAGGTCGACCACACCAAGCACCCCGACTACCCGCAGCGCTCAATTCTGGAGATCGAGGAAGACATCTTCAACAACGCCATTGGAAACGGTGTTCTCTGTGCGCGGGGCTCCTGGTTCCGTACTGAGCCTGGCACGCCTGCGAAGGACATGTTCTTCCGGGCGACCTTTGCCAGCGCATCGGAGGAGGCCATGAGCACAGCTATTCAGAGACTGGGGGCGGCGATCAAAACTTCGTATCGCATGGACTGAGGTGAATTAATGACTCGAAAACACCATGTCACCTTGGTTAGAGGAGCATCAGAGGCCCAGAACATGAGACTCATTGAGGCCTGGGGACTGCGCTGCGGATTGGAGTTGGGCCTGCTTTTTCTCCTGAACAGATATACTTAATAATCTCCAGCGAATCTCAATGGCATGATACTTTTCTTCATCAACGACTGCCCAATGATGTGAGAGAGAGACAATCGAGTGCCTTGTTCAGAGGGACAATCGAGAAATAGGGGGCAGTCACGTGCCCTCCTAAAGGCACATAGGGTACCTGGTGCTTCGTCGCCCCTCCACAGTGCAACTCACTGCCCGTCTGACTCACACACGGTCCCCGCCAAAAGATCAATCGCATCTGCCAGAAACACCCCTCTTCTGCCGGGGACGCGCGAAAACTGCCCCTCACTTTCAGCGACTCGATCTACCCAGACCTCAAAATCCAGATCCTCGGCACCCACCCTACGTCAGCAAGAAGAACGAGAAAAATACAGCCATGCTCGACGCCCTGGACTTCATTGCCGAACGCGGCGGCGACCCCGAGAAGATCAGGGAGAGCCAGCGCCAGCGCGGCGACCCGGTAGAGCTCGTCGACGAGGTTATTGCTCTGTGGCAGGAGGCGCGCAGCGGTTCGTTATGTCCATTTTTTTTGACATTTCTTTTTTTTTTTGGGCACCGTTGACTTCAGTTGGACTGACAGTTCTACAGAACAGTACAAGGTCACCCAGTTCAACGCGCAAATCGGCGCCGTTCAGAAGGAGATTGGCCAACGGAGGAAGAACAAGGTCGACGACGCTGACCTGCAGGTGAAGAAGACGGACCTGCAGAAGCAACAGAAGGACCAGGAGGCCGCTGCGGCCGAGAAGCAAAAGGGTGCGTTCTCTCCCCCTCCACATTGGGCCCCTTTACACATGACGGAGATCACCTGAAATCGAAGACTGACCCGCGCCTGCAGAGCTGCGCAACAAGACGAGAATCATCGGCAACTACGTCCACGAGTCCGTCCCCATCAGCAATACCGAGGATGACAACAAGGTGATCCGCACCTGGAAGCCCGAGGGCCGCGAGCTGAAGCCCTTTGCCGCCGCCGTTTCGCATCACGACGTCCTGCTGAAGCTCGGCGGTTACGATCCCACGCGCGGCGTCAAGCTTGTTGGCCACCGCGGATACTGCCTGACGGGCATGGGCTACTTCCTGTAAGGACCACGGACGGCACACACCTCTGTCTGGTTCTCGTTCTCACACGCTTGCAGGAACCAGGCGCTCGTCAGCTACGGTATCGAGTTCCTCTTCAACAAGGGTAAAGACCTACCCCCTTTCCCATGACGCCTTTTCAGTACGAGATACAGACTAAGCGCCCTCTTGCAGGCTACACCCCCAACCAGCCCCCCTACTTCCTCGACCGCGACCAGATGGCCAAGACGGCCCAGCTCTCCCAGTTCGACGAGGAGCTGTACCGCGTCTCCGAGGGCAAGAGCACCGACGGCTCGGCTGACAAGTACCTCATCGCGACGAGCGAGCAGCCGCTCTCGTGCCTGCACGCCGACGAGTGGCTGCAGCCCGGCCAGCTGCCGATCAAGTACGCCGGCTTCAGCACGTGCTTCCGCAAGGAGGCCGGCAACCACGGCCGCGACGCCTGGGGCGTCTTCCGCGTCCACCAGTTCGAAAAGGTCGAGCAGTTCGTCCTCTGCAAGCCCGAGGACAGCTGGAAGTTCTTCGATGAGATGATCGCCACCTCCGAGGAGTTCTACAAGTCCCTCGGCCTGCCCTACCAGGTCGTCAGCATCGTGTCCGGCGCCCTCAACAACTCTGCCGTACGTGCCCCGTCTATGCGCTCGGCGATGACAACCCCCTCCCCCCCCCCACCTTCACACATGAAATACCCCCGCTAACCCTACCACTCCCTTCCAGGCCAAGAAGTTCGACCTCGAGGCCTACTTCCCCTTCCAGGGCGAGTACAAGGAGCTCGTCTCGTGCTCCAACTGCACCGACTACCAGACGCGCGAGCTCGAGATCCGCTACGGCGTCAAGAAGGCCAAGGAGGCCCCCGGCAGCGGCAAGAAGGAATACGTCCACGCCCTCAACGCCACCCTCACCGCCGCCGAGCGCACCCTCTGCTGCGTCCTCGAGAACTACCAGACCGCCGAGGGCCTCAACGTCCCCGAGGTGCTGCGGAAGTACATTCCCGGCCAGCCCGAGTTCATCCCCTTTCAGAAGTGAGCGGGAGCGCCTTTCATGGCGTTCGTTGAAGGGTTAGGCGGATGATGGGGGGAAAAAATGTAGCGGAGGCAAAGCGACACGCTAGAAGGAGCATCTGTGTTAGATTTGAGCGACTGAACAGAGATGTCTCGCGTGACGTTCAAGAATTGATGACTACCAGACACGCTTTTTCGTTCTCTTGCCATCAACCCACATCAGCTTCACTTTTCACAGCGCGTGACGTGCCAGCGGGTATTTGGTCATGTAACGTCCAATGCACAGTTCAAGCTCGTATCATGGCTAGTCAAAATACATAGAGGACCCATCATCAATCCGAATCTCACGCCTTCTTGGCTTCCCAAAAGGCAACCTTGACGCCCTCGCCCGGTTGCAGCACAATCTCCGACTTGAGACAAGGGCTGCCGCCGTCCACCTGGTCCATGTAGCTCTCAACCCGCTCGTACCGCTGGAACAGGCGGCACAACACATAACTCATCTCCGTCAGGGCAAACTGCTGTCCAATGCAGATGCGCGGCCCGCCGTTGAACGGAATGTAGGTCCACGGCTTCGGCTGCCAGTGCTGCCAACGCTCTGGTGAGAAGACGTTATGGGGGGCGAATGTAGCCGAAGGGGGCGGGTAGATGTCTGCACGGCGCTGCATGACGAGAGGAGAATAGCCGACGGGTGTGTTCTTCAGAACAGGCAGGGGCAAAGAGCCGTCAGGACCACCGCCGCGCGGGAGTGTCGTGTCGCGGAGCGCGAGACGCACGTTGTAAGGCACGACAGGATAGAGACGGAGTGTCTCGTTCATGACGTTCTGCAGGTATTTCATGCTCTTCAGATCTGCATAGGTTGGCTCGCGGTCGGACCGACGTGCTGGAGGATCTCGTCGCGAAGCTTGCGGACAAGCTCAGGCTGACGGGACAGCTCGTAAATAGTCCATGACAAGGTGCAAGCAGTGGTGTCACGTCCAGCGAGCAGGACGGCAACGAGCTGATCGCGAATGACTTTGCGGTCTTGTGTGAAACAGGCGAGCTCATGCAGGAAAGTGTAGTCCTTGTCAGATTTGGTCTTGGAAGAGAGCTCCTCGGGGCTTAGGCGCAGAGCACGGTCGATGTACTGGTTGACAAAGTCGTTGATGACACGAAGGCCACGGCGGAAGGAGGCACGGGGAACGAAACGACGAAGCCCATTCGAACGGGCAATGATGCTCTGGACCCGTTGGACTTCGTTGAAGGCCTCTGCAAAGTCTTGGCGGGGGGTTCTGGATCATTGTCAGTCTGTGGGGGTCTGGCTCGTGACTACATGGGCCGCACTCACGACATGGATTTGACATCTTTGCCCAGAAGGAAGTCGGTTGCAACATCAAGGGTATAACGGAAGAACATGTCGCTAATGTCGAGAACCTTACCATTGCCGGCCTCGAGGTTGACAGGCTGGTCTTCGCCATTCAGTGCTCCACCGTTGGCAATGGCCTTGAATAGCGTCTGGATATGGGATTCGAAGCAGTGCAAGTCACTGACACGGTCGCGAATGAACTGAGGACGGATAAGATGCCGACTCGTGTGCCACTTGTCGCCATCAGTGGTGAAGATGCTGTCACCGAGGAATTCGCTCCATTCCGCGTGGAACGGCTCGCCCTTGCCAAAGTCGTTGAACTGGGTAGCAAGTATGGCCTTGATGTTCTCAGGGTCGGCCGTGGAGATGATGCGTTGACCAAGCACTCGTGTCTCGCCGGTGTAGGAGTCAATCTCCCGGAATTTGTTGGTCCAGAACTCCAGGTTGGTATGTGCCATGGCATGCTTGACAGCGGCAAAGACGAAGCGAAGGCCAAAGGGAAAGGTCAAGCCATAGACCTTGCCCGAGGTGTAAGGGGCAAGGCGACGGAGGCGAACATGTTCATCGATGCGGCCGAGGACGACCCAGAGAATGGTAGCAAATCCGAGAAAGGCGGCAACGGTCTTTGTGGAGATATTGTCCACGACAAACTCAACGAGACCCATGATGGAGGGTTGATCGAGGTTCAAATCAGACAGAGGCGATCCGAGTATGGGGTGAACGGTGGTGGCGGCACGTGGCGGTGTCACGGTTGGTGGATCTCAACGGATCCTAAGTCGAAGAGAGGCGGCGCTCTAAGCGTGAACCATGAGACGGTTATGCTTTTGCCGGCGAATGACAGCAAATGGCGTTGTCAAAGGGAGAACCGAGGGGGACCTCAGATCAATACCTCGAAGTCTAAGATGAGGTTTGTGAGAAGAAACAGTCAAGGAAGGCAGCAGGGTATGTTGGTCATGAGGTAGCGACAAAGGAACAGGGAGCAGCTCGATCTTAATAGGTATAACGGCCGGGCCCCTCGAAGCTGGCGTCCTTGATTCAATTTGTGTGGCAAGCTTGTGGGCGGATCTTGGAGGCGTGTGCTGGTGCGGGAAACGGGCCCCCCACCTGATGCTTGGTGCTGCTGGCTTAGACCGTTTTGGCGGGGAAGACCAGGGTCAACACGGGGTCGTGATGTTGGAGATATCCCGAAGGTCCTTCCCCAGGTCGGGGCTTGATCCTGACATTGACATGCCGGGTGGATTGACGTAGAGGTCAAGTCGTTTCTGCCAGCCACAAACGGAAGCTGATGCGAAGCCGCAAGACTTCATAGGTTAGTAAACGGCGGGTGGAAGGCTGTGCGCCTCGTCTGGCAGAAGCCGCCCGTAGTCCATGTGCTGCTGCACAGGATTGCCGCTGTGGCTCGAAGAGAAGACAACCAGCCTTATCCTTCGAGTGCTGCAGAATTGAGCGCCCGCGTGCCATTTTACGCCCAGGTGGTACAGAGCATCGGCTTTCGAGGCATGTGGTTGTCATGCTGCCAAGGGGCACTTGCCACCGAGACGGAGACGAGGACGGCGACGGAGACGGAGAGAAACATCTTGACGAAGACCGCTCATGAGCTTCGCGGCAAGGGTGGATGCTGGCAAGCGCAGGGCATCTTGGTCAGGTATGGTCATGGTCGCGGTCATGGTGATGAAGATGTGGAGAGTGATGGGAGACATCGTAGTGCATTAGACCAAACGGCATCCAGGAACACAGTTCAGTGGACAGTGCGTGGTGTGGTTTTGACAAATGGCACGCTGCTCTTTGGTGAAACGAAGTAACACCCCGCTGCAAGTGACAGGGCAGGTGCAGATGCAGTGTAGGTGCAGGTGCAGGTGCAGTCTAGGGGGAGTTGCTTCCCTTCCCGTTACCGAACCTGCCTGCTGCTTGCTTCGCTGCTTCCTACCTACCTACCGACAAGGGTCACACCTACTACACGGTAACGTAGATCGATCGGGCTTGCCATGAATCATACAGCACCGTGTCAGAGAATTTGACCTCCTCGTTGAGCGACAGTTCTGCTGTTCTTCACGTCTTCTTCTTCACGTCTTCTTCTTCACGTCTTCTTCTTCACGTCTTCTTCTTCACGTCTTCTTCTTCACGTCCTGTCTCCTTTTGGCATGATCAACCCAACTCCAAGAACGAACGGCATGCACACACGCCAAGGCTTCAGTCGACGGCCAACCGCTGAGCCGAAACCGAGTCCGGCTCGCCCCAATCTTCCGTCTCGTACACAGTGCTCAGACGCCCCACCGCCAGCCAGCGACAATACGATCTGAATACCCAGAACGGGAAGAATCTCGTTTTCCCTCTCCTCCACCATGTTGCCCCCTCCCCCCGCATCTGTTCCGTTGCTCCCGGTACCAAGGCATGCCGTTGCTGGCCACTAGCCAGCGTTTGGCATGGATCCTTCTCCCACTGACCCGTGCATCTCGAGCACCGCTTGCTTTCACCGCTAACTTGATAGGTTGTCGGACCTGGCAGCCACCCGTCTTTCCCAGCAAATGGCGGGGTCAACAGCGTCGACCTTCTCGAACACGGACCAACCCAACGCTGTCCTTCGCAGGCTTCACAAGCTTCACAGCCCGAGTCTGCAGGCCTATGATGTGCAACCCATGCCATCTACCCCGTGGGGAACGGAACCCCTCACATTCCTACACACCCTCTTGGACGAGTGCCGCGGCATTATATGTAGGGGACCCTGCTCCATCAATTTCATGTGAACAGCACGGGGTCGGTCACCTGTTAACCCGACGGACCCAAGTGTCATTCGAACGTAGCTTCAATTCAGGCTGGCTTAACTAGCAATAATGGATGCTTGGCGCACGCTTCTACATAACGAACGCGCACTCTTCACAGCGATGCCTGCGTGCAGAACGGCATGTGCACCGGCGCCGGAAT